GATTGAAATTATAGTTGTGCTCTTAGAGAGACCCAGTAATTAGAAGGTAATTAAAAAATACAAAAGTTTAAGTTTAAAAAATTACATTATAGTCGGTAGTTATATTTTATGGCATATCAACTGATATTATTAACAAATACTATGAAAATATTACGTATACTCAATCAGATAATAAAAACAATATTTTTTATTAGAAGGTAAAAGTTAAGAAGTTAATAGTGCGAAAAATGGGTGATAACGACTTTTTTTTCTTTTTTGAATTAATAATGACTTGGTTCTTATCTTTTTTGATTAGTCTTGAAAATATTATCATTTTATATTTTAGTAACTACAGTGAAAATAATTCTCAAGCTGAAAACTAGAAGATGCAATTGCCAATTTAGCCTATTGTTTATGAAAGAACTTTATATGTTAACTGTATAAAGTAATCATTTTATTATTCAATTTTATTACAAAGAACTAGATGGTGACACCCATTTGACTAACACAATAATTAATTTTGCTATAAAAAAAACTTACGATATAACAATTTAATACAATTGAGCAACTAGTAATTAAAGATTAAACTATATTACTTACTTGAATTGAATTGATTGATGAATCAATTTTCTTATAGATACAATATATTTAAATATGTGTTAGAAATTTATTATTTATATAATGACAAATAATTTCAAGAGAATTTGTAGTATGAATCATGGCTAATACTGAAGTGATCTAAATTAAGATATAAAATTTTTGATGATGCTGCATCTAATAATAATGCATTTGTGGTTTTGTGTCATCCAAATTTCAAATGTTCTCAAATCACCAAGAACGATTTTAAATTCAAAACTTCTGCTAAATATTATAATATTAGTATTTAATTGACATTGAATTTTTATTGGGCGTTTTTTGTCGATATGGATCATCTTTGAAAATTAATTTATTTTTTGATACATGATTTTTACGATGTAAAATATTACATTCTTAATTGATTATTATATTAACAAATTACACGCTTTTATCCATACTAAGTATATCATAACCTCTTTAAATATTTAATGGTTTTATGAGTAATCTAATTTATCATAATTTATAAAACAAGAAAAATGAAATATTTTTATAAAGTGCATTTATTAATTATTTGTCTTGTAGTTCTATTTATATTTTTTGTGATTAATATTCACTGTTCTGTTTTGTTATTTCTTTAGGTTTGTTCTGTCAAAAATCTCAAGTAATGGGAATGAGTAACAAAACCTATTAAATCAAGTATTATCATAAATATAGGTATAAATAACATTATAGAGTACATTCATTAGTTTCTATTATTATCATTACCATAAATATAGCTACAAATAATAATATAGAATAGATTGATTAATAATTAACACTCTGGTTTTATTTGAATTTTACTTATAATCAACACCTACTTCAATTTAGGTGTTACAAGTCTACTCTCTATAAAACCCATTCCCTAGCAATGGGTTGAGAGTAGTAAGTGGGTTGGCTAAACGAATTAACATGTTTACCACTAGTTCCGAATTGCTTTCAATAAATGAACTGATTCGATTGAACGAGGTCTCATTTAGAATAGTTTCGTTCTTCCAACATTCAACTCTATAGGATTTGCATAGGAATTTTGGATAAAAATTGAGGTTTTAGAGGAAAACTTTGTAGAAGAATTTATTCTAGTTTTGTATGTTTATTGTAAAACTTAAGCAGAATTTTATTATTAGTTGAAAATATTATATATTAAAATGATTTGATTTAATTTTTAAATTATTTACAACCAGGGTGTATTATTCATAATCTTTACCAGCTATGAAGTGTTTGCTTTAATCAGATTATTAACACGTTAAAATGCTGTTTGTTTTTTATTTTATATGACTTTTTTTAAAATATCATACAGTTGTGTTAATTTTCAGCTAATATTATGATGACTACAAAATTCTGGAATTTACTTCAGCTCCATATTACCACAAACAGTACTTAAAACAATATTTTTCTAAATAATGCAAATTTTTGAATTGAAGTTTGGTTTGGATAGAATGAATCAAAATAATTGATATGTATATGTTTTACATGATGTTTGTAATGATTCATACATATTATTGCATGCAATTTATTTACCTCATAATTAAATTTATAATTTTTTGTGTAAAACTGTTTTAGAGACCTTATTTGGATCACACTTGATTAAATTTTTCATGACTATATGAATCCAAATATGGACTTGTTTTTATTTAATATAAAATAATACAAACTCTTCAACAGATGACCAGTAACAATGTTTATAATGAATCATTATCATATATTGCTTATATTGTTTATGAGGTTAAGAATTATGCCAAGGACATTTGCAACAATACGGTACTAAAGTTCATTTTTATTTATCAGAAATAAAATTTCCTATAAAAATATCTAACATAACAAGTTTCTTATTTTTAGAAATTTCTGCAAAATTTTAGATTAACTTTATGAATTATATTTTGATTGAAAGAAATCTGATAAAGCAAAGATTGATATGCACGTGGTGTTATTACGTAAAGAAGTTTATGTGCGTATGTAAAATTAAGTACAATTTAATGCACTTCCTATATTATTTATTATACATTCAAAGATCAATAACTAGTTCAAAGTTCAAAGTAGTTCAAAGATTTTATTCATTAACTTTGACCTTTGGAAGCAATTGTGAACTTCAATGAAAATACTTCAAAAAACCCATAATAATAATTTTTTGTATATTAATTTTTTATGATTTTATGGTGCAGAACAGAATAATATATATAGTGAAATAAATAAATACTAGTTATATATCGAGCACGCATAATATACTATTTTATAAAAAAATAAATGTATATATCATGTTTCATTTTTTTATTTTCAAAGTCTGAACTTTACAGAAGAAAATTCTGGCTCTTATAAGAGCAATTTGAATCATGATGTCTCCTATATACTATTTTATGTGAATTTTTTATTATACCTTCTGATATTATTTTTGGTGCTAGTTGCCTTGGGTCTTTCCATTAGGTGACATATACTAATAATTAATATGTTGTAATTTTATTCTCACTAAAATAACTGAAAATATTTTTGTTCATACGGCCCTGAACTGATGCTCAGTAATATATCTTTAGACTTATGACCTATTGACCTTTTTGATTTCTCACATCATGCAGCATTTCTGATGATTTTATCATAATTTTTTATAATATTTACCGCCAATTAGGAATTTCATGAATTAATCTTAATTCTGGTTTCAGTTCTATAATTATAACAATTTCATACTCAGAAATTCATACTAATTCGATTTTTTTATTATGTTGCCAACTTAAATATCATAATTTGAGTATTTAGTAAACCATCAAATTTAATTTGTCTATACTTTATTATATATTATACATTTTATATAAGAATAAAACTTAAAATTTAAATTAGTTAATATTATTTTGAAGTTAATATTACTATTTTTTTTCAAAATTTATATTATGAATGAATATTCGTGGTAGGTTTTTCTTTTCTCAATATTTATATCATATATACATATATATATATATATATATATATATATATATATATATATATATATATATATGACCTCAAGAACATTGTCAGACAGTAAAAGGTTTTCGTGATAACCCATTTTCTTTGATATCACTTCCAATACAATATGAGACGTCAATATCATTGTCATAGATATGTCAATTTATGACATATTTCAGATTCTATATTTTTTGGCAATCCATAATTGCTTACCATATATTTTGTTCTTTGATATTTCTCTCTGAAACAAACGTTTATGAAAAATAATCAACATACTTATGCTTGCTACTCTTCACTTTTTCTAGTTTTTTATGTAAAACTTTAATGAAAATATAAAGTAAGTCTGAAGTAAAAGTCTGTAAGTAAAAAATTGAAGTTATCACCAAATGATATTATTAACAAAAATGGTAAAATGTTTTAAAATAATAAACTTTCTATTTAGAAAATCTTAACCAAATTTCAATCAAAATTCGTTACTACTATTTTAATTTATATTCAAACATTTACATTGTGCCAAATTCACTGTGATAAAATGACGGACCTGCACAGTTCTGTTTACTGCAGCGACCTGCATAGTAGCTATGACAATGTTACAGGATGATTTACATATCCAACCAAAATAATTTTTTTTTTAATATTCTTCAAGATCCTATTGAAAAACGCCTGTTCTTACCCCTAGGAGAAATATATATGTATAATATTTAACTTCCCATAGGGTAAGTTATGGTAATCGTCTAAACATCGAAAAATTACTTTTTTGAATTTCATAACGTTTCAGAGGTTTCTGAACACTTTGGCATACCTTAGGAAAAATTGATGTGTGTGTCTGTGTGTATGTGAGTGTATGTATCTGTTGATACAATTTTTCGCCCACGTTTTTGTGAGCACGAATCAACCGATTTGAATGATTCAAAAAATATTTGATTCCTGGTGATAAAGAGATGTGCTAATTACATTTTGGCAAAAACAGGTCCAGCCGTTTTGGATATAAGGAGCAAAAAGGGCATAAAATGGAAAACATCTTACTTATTTTTGAATATATAAAATCATTTGGATTTCAATTTTAATGTACAATTTCTAAAAACATGTAAAATTTCTAAAAACATGTAAAATTTCTAAAAACATAAAAGAATTCTCTAAAGTTTCATAACGGTACGGTGCCTTAAGACACGATGCCATGCACCACTATTTTTTTATATTTTATTACCAAATAAAGATCATCAACCTCAAAAAACCCTAATCATAGTAAACATTCTCAAATTCCTTATCATCCCAAATTCATTACAAACCAAGTGTTTACGGCACTTAATTACATAAATAGAGGCGTTTCCGATTTATCTGTTCGCCGAATAACAAACGCACACAGTTCGATTGTCAATGTTTCCACATAAATCATTCTTAGAATTCGCTATTCGGCTTATAATATATTATTAGCAGATAGCGTATTTATATGAAACACACACTGGGATCGTGGTAAAGTCGGCCAGACATAGTCAGTTGCATGTGCTGGTGAGATAGTGAAATATTCCTCCTGGGGTGGATATAGAGACCAGTCTCCAGTCTCCAGTCTCGACAAAGTTCTTATATTTAAGAGACGACGACGATCTTGGCAATATCTTCAGAGTTGGAAACCAATTGTGTGCTTCTTTGCGGCTAAAAGAATTGAATTGACCAGAACTGCAAGTGAACTTTTGTCAAGTGGAGCCGAAAGTTTAGTCGCTGTGTGTTTTGTGTGATTTCTGTAAAGGTCAGTGGTTGAGATTTTTAGGTTTTGTAAAAGTTGGATTTAAGAGTTGGGGTTGTGAAAGATTTATTACACGAATATAAAAATTCATTATTATTAATTAAATTTTCCGAATCACTCCTTTTTCTGAACTGAATACCTTCTTTTCCTCATTTTAAATTTATTTTTCAAATACATTTTTTAGGTATTGGTGAGATAGAATGTCGACTTGAAGAACAACTGAAACCAAATGAAAAATATTTTTTACACAGTTTTATATGATGCTTTGAATGTTTATAAAATTCCATAAAATGTTTCTGAGATATACTTCACATTCCATATTTTCTAGCATTTTTTTATAAAATTATATAACTTTTAATAACAAGTTTATCAAAATGGCAATGTTTGTAATTTTTTTATTAGAATACATGCTTATATTTTGCAGATTTAGATAAATTTTAAATTTTATTTTACGGTGTCTCTTTAAAAAATAAAAATAAAATTGAAAATAGATAAATTTGTGTATTCACATCATATAGTGTATTTACATCATATGTTTCTCAGATTGCTTCACGTTCCATATTTTCGAACATATTTATAAAACGTTCTGAAAAACTTTTAATAGTAATTTTATCAAAATGGCAATGCTTGCATTTTTATATCAGAATACATGCTTATAATTTGCAGATTTAGATAAATTTTAAATTTTATTTGACGGTGTTCGTTTAAAAAATAAACATAATTTTCAAAATAAGATAAATTTATGTAATTACATCGTATAGAGCTATATGTATCTCAATTTTTACAAAATTCAAGACGTGCATATCACAGAATATTTAATAGTATTAGAATTATTTTTCACACATTTAGGCTAAAATAGTGAACTTTATGATTGATTCAATATTTCTGGAACTTCATTATTTTTTTGAACTATTATAAACATACAACAAACTACGTAAAATGCGATTTGAATTTTAAAAAAATACAATTTTATGACAAACTCTCTAGTATAATTTGTATTATAAACGAAACGTATAATTTGTACAATTTATAAATTTAATTCAGTTTTTGTATTTATAAATGTAACATTTTAAATCTATCTGAAACATTCATACAGAGCAGCAATTTTTTGTTCTGAGGCTATATAATTTTTCTTTTTGTTTTTGATTTTTTTTAAGTATTTTTTTTAATTATTTTATTAAATTTGCAAAAATATTCAGTAGTTATGTAAAATAATTATAGAATTTCCAAAAAAAAAAATACTTTGCGAACCTTTTAGCACTTATATTTTATATATTATACAAAAATGTATAAATTATTCAACTTGTTAAATTAATGAAAATATTTTTGATCATCAACCCCAATAATGTCGCTTGTTTGTTTTACAATAATATCCAATATATTTTTATTGTACGCAGCAAATACTAATAATTTAATGAATTGAATAATGGAAAATCATCATGGGTATAATAACAGCGTTTATTTATTTTATAAGGTTGATATACCGCCAATTAATTTATAGTAAACATACGTAAAATAAATACTACATAATTTTATTTATTGTTAAAATAAATATATCAATTGAGAAAACTCTGCAACGGATAGTAAAGGTTGTGTAAAAATATTTATTTCTATATGTATCTTTATTTTAAATTCGTGATAGAAATATGTAAAGTTGAAGTATGTTTATATTAAATTTATTAAATAAAATCGGTGTAATACTGTATCAGTTTTATCGCTTGAACTCAGTTTTTATCCGTAACCTCATCATTATGGCATTGACACAATCTTATATTTATATTCAATTTTTCTTAGAATTATTGCAAGTATACAACCAACGTCAGTAATAATAAATTTTAAGGAATTGTACAGATACAATTTCTAATACAAAAAAATCAGTTCAAATGTGTCTTTATTCTGTCCACTGTATAAAATATTTATCTATAAATTTTATTTGTACAATCAGCAAGCATTTGGTAGTTTTAGGTGACTTTTTACCGTATCCTTGCTCTATTTATTGGTGTACCCGTGAACCGTGGTCATAATTTACAAATGCCGTCATGAATTACTCAGACGACGGATGCTAACTTGATGAAAAAATCTCACGATTTTACTCTGTATCGAGATTTTCACGAATATATACGGATTTAACATTCTAGCAGTTATTGCCAGATTTGCATCTTTATATCTTGAATCACTGCTTCTGGAAAAATATTTAATAAAATGACTGGACACGTTTAAAAAATAATATTTCAAACTTATTTAAACATATTTATACTCATATTAAATAAATTCTAGTTGGTCATATTCTTAAAAATTCAAACAAAATTAGGAAGTTCAAATGAAAATTATAAATAGATTTACGTTTGTCATGTAAAAAAATTTCTTAGTTCTAACTTTCTTTTAAGTGATTGAGAACATTTTTTAGTGAGTGTAAATCATCATCTATAAAACATTTAGAACAAAGTAAATGGTTGCCTTAATTTTCAGAAAATATTGTAGTGAAATTTCCTAATTATCTCAATTTTTTTTGTTCACTTTTATGATTTTATTTAATTCTAATTATAATTTTTGTTCTTTTATCTTGTAATAAACTTTTGTAATAAATATTATATTTTACAGAATCTATTAAGGTAAAGGATTTTCTCATATATTAAGTCCAATGAAATCGAGTTCGCATTGGATTCAGATGAATATCTGACGTTAGATTATAAAAAAAATGTTTTTAACATTTAGGCATTTTTTATATTTAGGCTACGTCCAAAAGTTAACTCCCTTTAATATAACTTTTTTAAGCATGTCATTAAATGTTAAAAAATATTATGAAATGTTAGAACTAAATATGTTACTGAATATGTTAGAACCGAAAATGTTGGAAAATGCTATGAAATTTTAGAATATTCTATAAAAAAAACTACTGAAACCGTTAGATCTCGAGCACTATATATGATTTTACAATATAAAAGTAATTGTTTATAAAATGTCATTTCAGTCCAACATACCCATTTTTTTAATATTCCGAGTATTGATGAAAACAATTAAAATTTTAATTTGTTTCTGTTAAATATTGGTTTAAACGTTTTTACCCTGAAATTTATTTCAAATTTTTATTACCATTTGAAAGATCTCGGTATGGAAACCAAAGGAATTTCGCGCTACCTGTGAGTATCGCGGTATCCGTGTTTCTCGGGCACACCATAAGCCATTCGCTTCAACTGAATATTTTATTTGTCTGCGAGTCGACTGCTAGAAGGAGAGTTATCGTTTCTCTTCCGTTGTGTCACAATGCGAAAATAAAGTAGTTGAAATCCTTATGACATATAATATGATATATGAGAAGTGCTTGCTGATGATACGCCATACATATTACAATATTATTGTTATGCATTATACGATGATTTTATTCAGCAATGCTAGTTTTATACTTCCTGAAATTTATTTAGTATTTGTAAAATCACAATTTTAATGTATGTAATATTTTTAGAAAGATGGGGAAGATATCCTTGCTTATACTTTGCTCCACGCTACTTATAGTATTCGTGAGCGCTGAGCTTCAACATCGCCAACAAGAAAATTTCCAATACTCTAGTTCTTCAAGGAAGATTGTAAATGGCAAAGTAGTTGACGATGACTCTAAAAGCGGTTACTTGCGTAAACAAACAGGTAACATGGGCGGAAATTATGAAGAACAAGAAAATATGGATGCCGAAGCTCAAAGAAAGCGAGAGGAACTCTTGCGGTGGGCGCAAATTGGTACACCACTGGCAGCACCAGCGCTTGGACCAATGGGAATCCCCACATTCATTACCAGTGGCTCTTCAGCTAGTCACCATGCATCAAACCAACTTTCCAGAATTGCTGCTGGCAATTTGATAGTCGATGATTGCGAACCTGCCGCTAGTTCGGGTGTTGCTGGTGTACATAGATCAGAATCTGCCAGCCAATACGCAGCTCGCTCTGAATCCAGTAGGATCGTACCTGTTATTACCCCAGTTCAAGTCGGTGCTGTCAATATTGACAGTGAACGTTATCGCGAAGCAAACAGATTACAGGGATATTCGGGAGTTACCCGACCTGTTAGTAACGTACAAAGCGTTCATCAACAAGCTGCTTCTGATCGCTACGCAGCTTCTGATAGGTATGCGGCGTCAGAATCTCGTAACTATCCATCAGTAGTACCAAGACCTGTTGTACAAAGTCAGAGTCAAATCCAAAGTCAATCAGCGTCGATGCATAGACAATACAGCGCAAATCAATTAGAGGAACCTCAACGTACCATACCAGCTACCTACTCAAGTTCTGCTCACGATGCAAGTCATTCTCAATACAATCGTCAAGATGAAAGAAGATATGATAGTCTCCACGATGAAAGACGTGTGAGTCGTCCTGTGGTTCCTGCACAAACAGAAGTTTTACGAACCGCTGAGAGCCAACACTATGGCAATCGCAATTATGAAGAGTCATACCGTGGACCTACAGCAACTATTCGTGCACCTTACAGTGGTAAATCTGAAATTGATAGACGCATCGCCAGTCTTGATCATACTGTTGAAAGCTTGAACAGACGTACTGGCACTACTGATAGGAATAGTGTTTTGCCTGCGACTCAAGTTATTGATGATTATGATGATGATCAACAACAGGTACAACAAACTTATAGCGCTGCTGCGTCTTCGGCATCATCTTACGCACAACAGCAAAGTTCTAGAGACTTACTGAGTAGAGGTAGTGCAAGAGTTGGTTCTTATGATAGCGGCGCTTCTAGTGGATACCAACAAAACTATAGACCGTCTAGATATAACGTTGGTGGTAGAACTAGTGAACTACAATCAGCATCATCAATGGCTGCAAGATCTGAACACGAATCTAGATATGATGATGACAGGCAAAGATTGGATAGAACATATGCGGCTGCTAGTCGAGGTAGTGCACATGATATGGGCCAAGAAGCAAGTGATCTATTAGGAGCTGTAGGTGCTGGAATTCCAGGAGGATCTTACCGCCAGGAGTCTAGTGATTCTATGGGTTATGGTTATCACGATTCTGGAAGATTTGGTGATGAGAGGACTGATGGAGTTCGTGGTACTTATACTAGAGATGGCAAGGTTGCGGCTCAATCTCAAAGTGCTGATGAAATGCGTGAAGAGAATGGTCGTGTTAAGTTTTCGTCCGAAGGCTCTTATAGCAAAAAGCACGAATATAGCGAAAATAGAAACTTTGAATTTCCTGCTGGTTCTGTTGTGAATCCCCTCAGTCAAAGCGAAGTAAGTGGAAGAACGTTTATCTGGTACACTTAATTCATATTATTGAATAAAAAATCCATTGTCACAATAACTCATCATCATCAACAAATTTTAACATATTAATAAAGGAAATAAACTCATTTTTATCAACGGCAAATTCTTAAATCACAACATTGGTTCAAAATTTAAACTTTTATATGATTTTGATTATATTCATATTCTTAAAAAATATATTATAATTATCTTCTATAAATTTACAAACGAGTAATAGGTCATAATACAGCTTTGCCTTTGGGATTTTGGCACTGATCCGAGTTAGTGTAATTATGATAATTATGTTATCTGTGCGCGATTCAATCGAAATGCTAATTGAATAGGAATAATCTCTTGTGTTTCGCTAATCCTATTAGTATTATCGATGTTATACCAGCGAAAAGTGCTAATGACTATTAATAATATTAGAACATGGTGAAAATTGTAAAGATTAATTTTAATTGAATTTTAGAAAATTTAACAATTGTCTCTTACTTGATGACAAGAGATATTGTTTTATCAATATTTGTTTATTTAGATTATTTTTGGCATAATTCGATCTTTTTCTAAGTCTAAAAATTATGAATTGAATTTTTGTTCCCTATGTCGAATAATATCAAGTGCAGGATCGAAAATTACTATGCTACTAGTAATTTATGTTTATTGAATGGAGGTCAAAGAACGGGCTTTAGTACAGGATTTCCTCAATGCACACTGCATTGGCTTTTGTGTTTATCGTGTAGTACGGATTTAGTAATATTGCACGAGCCTTTGTGAGAGGGTCGACTTTAGTACTAGGCAAAGGTGTCAAAATCTATAAAAATGAGGGTCAACTTTTTACCTTTACTTTTGTATGTTTAATTTTTATACATGAATTTGTTCAGTTCATAGATACAATTAGGCGAGAAACTAATAGTTTTATTGAAGTTCCTTAAATATTTCAAGTAATTTGTAATTGTATGTTCTTTACATTATTTTTTTTTTCTGGTGTAATTTTGTTTGCGAACTATTGTTGTAAGCACCCAAATAATATATTCATCGTCTTCAACATATAGTATGTAATTATTATGTTTTCTTTTTGAAACAATCATGAAGGTTTCAAAATAGGCAGTCTCTTCATTGTAATTCTGAATAACTGTTCTAATTTAATACAACGTATAGCTTGCAGAAATTAATAATTATTTTTCTAAGTAATTATAAAGCTTGTTAAAGCTTTTATACGCAGTCTTGACTCACTATCTGAATTATAAATAACATATATCTTGTATTTGTTATTTCTTTGCCTTTTTGACTGATGTCGGATTTGTCTGGAATCGAACCGGCGAATTTGAGATTGGTTTGGGCTAGCCCTTGACCGAATCGATTTCGCCACCGCTGGGCCCAAAATTGACAATTTATTTATATATCTTTTAACATATAATATCAGTCTAAAATGATTTCATCGAATCCTCCACCGTACCTTTGACACTACTGCCGTGCCAAAGGATTAGTTGCATCCACGCGATGCGACGTACTTTGAGTGCCGGCTTTCCAGTGTAACCGCCGGAAAATTGTCCGTAGGATTTGAAAAATACATACACACTCCCATACAAGTCCGGCCATGTGGAACAAAGTGGAAGTTTTGTTTGCTTATTTTCATTTACACGGGTTGGCTTCCTAACGTTTTCCTAATTAGGTATTTAAAACAATAGACGTTGACAAACTCCGAGTGAATATTTGATAGCGGTTTTTGGTCGGTTAGGAAATAAAACGAGGCAATAAAAATAAAAATTAAAATAATACTTTTGGTAATCATGTAAATTTAAGGGCCAACTTTAATCACTGTCATATTAGTTCATTCCATCATGTAACAAATCAATGCCATATTTTATGATTGGAAGACACGTTATACCATCCTTTAAATTACCTCAGCATCTAGTTAGGCATGAAGCATAATATTTCGAATCTATAAAAAATTACCAACAACTTTACCTTCTGTCATTTGATCATATTTAATTATTTGTAATCTACTTCCATTTTTTTACATAAAAATTTTCACAATCATTTCCATATCATCGATTTGGTCATCATAGCACTTTTGCTTGTACATATACATTTATTGATAATAAATTCTTTATAAATTAATATTATTACCTTATTTTTAGTTGGATAGAATGACTGCAGAACAAAGGCACGACTATTATGCTAGATTTGGCCAAAGATTTAACGACTTTACTTCAAATCTATATAAAAAGCATGGTTACTGATGATATTGTCATTGACTTATAATTTCATACATTGCTAATTATGATAACATAACTTTAATATATTAAAATACTATCAATAGTAAGCACAAATCAACTAAATCATTGGACGAACATTGAAGTGTCGAGTTTTACTATCATGTTATTTTTGAATATGTAATTCGAAGTAGTGTATTCAAATTAATTTATTTTATAGTCATTATATGTATATTAAATGTAAGCTGAAAATAAAATAGTAATTAATAGTAAGTTTTATTATGTCCACATAATCTCTTTGATCTTTGATTGCCAAAGGAAAATGTTAAGAACACTGGAAAGATTTTATAGTAGTAATTAACTTTTATTTACCTACTATCAAAAAGTCGTTATTTGTATCCTTAGAGTCGTAAATTGACATCAAACGAAGATCATTATATTAAGGTAAATAAGCGTGGATTTTTTATGAGTTTGGTTAGATGACAATTTACTATTACTTTATTATTTTAATCTTTCCATAAAACTCGCTAATTTTCATCAACCTCAATAATTTTTAGACATTTCTACAATGTTTGAAAGTTTTACCAGAGAATCAATATCATGATAGGAATAATAATCATATTTAATAGTAATCAGTAGATAATAATCCATAGGTAGCACTAATTATCTGAGATTTAAGCAAGCCTCAACAAACAAATATTTGTAAAATATTGAGTGCATTAGGATTACTAATAAATATTTATCGATAAATCCAATAATGTATTGATGTTTATTTAATAATATTGAGTTACTAATTATACTGGCATTCGACTCACATTCAACATTTATATTAAAGGCAACATGTTGCAGGAGCTCTAATAAAACATTTAAAAAATTCTTACAAAAAATTCATATAAACTTAATTAATTAATTAAGCCAATATGATTTTTGTTGTTGTTTATAGAATTTAAATGTATATACCTATCTAAATACAATTTTTAAAATAAATTTATATTCCAATACATACAATCAACAAAATTTGAAAAATCGTGAGCATCATTTGTTTGCTTATCCAACACCAATTGATCATCCAATATCACTGCAAAATGCATTGAATGAACCCTATAGTGTTTCATGAAGTCTGAGAGATTATCTACATGCTAAATAATTAGCAAAACCAAACATCAGAGGGATATTTCAATAATACTTGGCTTTATTCCCATAGACGACGTCCACATGAGATCACCCTTGAGTATATTCATTATAGCAAACGACGCCACAAAATGGCAGGTGCTTAATTTATAAGGAAAGACAGAGATCTGGAAGGCTTTGAGTATGCAAAATCATATCTTATAATAATTACATGAAACTCCTCCTAAATGTCTAATACAATTTCGATAAAATCTTTTGTGTTTGTCGAAGAAGGTTTGTTGATGGTATAGATCAAAAGAAACAATTATCAAAAAACCATATTTATTTGTCTAGTTCATATAATGACACAAAAAAACAAATTTCAAACATTTATAAATAGTGTAAAAAATATATAGGTAAATTATATTACTACCTTATCTTGGTAATAATTTCCATTAAAAACTGTGGCATATTCATTTTTCTTCTCCAGACTATTCTAGATTATAAGTTGAATTTTCTCCAGCAAAAACCTTTTTTGATATCACTCTCACAAGAGACAATATCTACCCAGTAAATGAATGCTCTTTACGCCGACGGGCACTTAAATAAATTAGCTCCTGCAGCAGGACTCATGTGATTCCTAGAGTAAAAGTTAACCACCAACAAAAGATATGTACGAACTTTTGTAAAGTTCACGATTAAAAAGTTCAACTAGATATTATATGTTTTTGAAATAGTTTTTTAGAAGAATCCAAACGCTAACTGATCGTTGTTATGTTATAATGTATGGGGGCTTGATGTGAGACTGTTTTATTTAAAATAAATATTAATTATGAACTAATTAGATATAAAACTAGTGGGGCGCATGGCATCGTGCCTTAAGGCAAATTGCTGGAACTTCCCGTACCAAAAATTTTTTTTTAAAGATTAACATTTTTGAAAAAATTTTACTTTGAAAAAAATGTATATTTTTGAGAAACTATAAATTTTTGACAAAAATTTAGTTTTTTCTGAAAAAAAGACTTTTTGAAAAAAACTTTCTATATTTTGAAATATTTAGGAAATTCTAAACTTTTTTTCAAAGCAATCGTACTGCTTTAACTACATAGAGACAAAATATAAAAAGCGCGTAAGCGCCGCGTCGGCGTCTAACGGATAAACTTTGGTACGGAACCCATAGGAATGTAAACAAAATGTATACTTATTGTTAAAATCCCTACAAAATATCTGATAATTTGATGTGCATATGTCTAATGATCATTTTTGACCGCCAAATAGCATATTTTTTTACTATTTTTACTGGATTTTCGAAATCGCTAGACCTGCCTTTATGAAAATTTGACCAGTGCTTCATCTTGTCAATACAAGTAAAAAGTTTTTTGAATTTTTAAAATCTGATCGCGCTCTTTTTGCCCCGTATCTTCGGAACGGCTAGACTTGCTTATGCCAAAAACTAATCAGCACGTCTCCTTATCGACAGCAATCGAATGTTTTTTGTGTTTGTAAAATTTGTATCCGCACACACACACACAAGCATCCATTTTTTCCAAGGTATACCAAAATGTTCAGAAACCTCTGAAACGTAAATTATATATATATATATATATATATATATATATAAATGATTTTCGTTTTTTTGCGATTATTCTAACCTACCCTACGGGCAAATGTTTTCAATAATGTATAATTGTTATATCTAATTTTTTTCATTAACTTTGTAATTCAATTACCCATACTCTCTTTTATAAATGACATTTTCCATCTACATGTAACACAATATAATATTCAATTTCAGACGTCAGCGACCAGAAAAAATTAATTAAAATATCAATTATTAAAATCCACAATATTCGTTTTTTATTCCCTGATATGTTACCGCGGGTAATCCCTCTCTATTCAGTCTCGTCTCGTCTTAGCCGCGTAACCTATTATAAAACGGTCCATGACAGCCCCTGGGCTGCGCAGTCATTCTAGAGTTCTTGGTGGCATTGTGAACGATTTGATAATTTCCCGAGAGATTATAGTAATTCTTCTTCTCTCTATTACCTTACTCATTTTGTATAATGCGAAGACTCTGTAACATATTTCAGCTTTTTAGCAAAATGAATACTGGAATTAGCAACGGTTAGGTAAATGAATCATAAAATATCAATGGTCAATCTTATTATTGTAATTTTTTGGTCATATCTGATATTTATATTGTTATTTTGTTGAATATTTATAAAAAATATTTCATATTCCATAGAAGAAAACAAAAACAATACTAAGGATATTAATACATTCTTTGCCATTAAAAGTGCCTTGATGATACGTCCCGAAATGCCCTAAATGGGCTTTATTATTTTTTGTTATTTTATAAATCAACTTCAGTGAGAAAGCGATAAATAAGCATGCATTCTTCATAATAATTTTTTTCAAATCAAAATTTTATTATAAAAGTGTATACAACAGATTTTAATAAATTTTACGAAAATTTGATCTAGTTTTTAATAATGTATACCAATTGAAATGTTCGAAATGAAAATTTGAAGCCGTTATAAGAAATGTAAGAAAATGTCATAAATTTTCACGTTGCTCATTAACAAAATATTAAATATACTAAATATAAATTGAAAGTCGAAAATTTCATTCAATTCATTAATATTTTTTTTGAAAAGTGGCCCCAAGTTTAACCTAATTTGGACATCACTGATTTGAGGTGGCGACTTGGGTCAACTAGATATTAATTCAAATCTTAATACGGAACCCATAAAAATGTAAACAAAAATTGTACTTCTTAGGAATCTCTACAAAATATCTTGCAATTTGATGCGCATATGTCTAATAATCATTTTTGACTTCCAAATATTTTTTCTTACTTTTATTGTTGGATCTCCAAAACCGTTGGACCTGCCTTTCCAAAAATTTCTTCTGTATCTTTAAAACGACTAGACCTGTCCTTTCCATAAATTAATCAGCACGTTTCCCTATCAATAGATCTCGAACAGTTTTTTGAATCATTTGAATTCGTGCTCTAGAAATCGTCGATGAGAAAACTGTATCCGTACATACATACAAAAACACACACACACATACATCCATTATTTCTAAGGTATGCCAAAATGTTCAGGAGGTCTTAAAACGTAAAGATATGATAATAAAAATATTTTTGTTTTTTGCGATCACTATAACAACTAGAGATGGGTAACTCACTCGGGAGTTATAACTCCGATACAACTCCTCCCTCGGAGTGAATCCGAGTGGAGTTGTCTCACCGGATTTATCATATCCGACTTCCCTAAACTGGTACTACATCTTTTACTGCGTTTTTGCTCTGGGAAGGAAGCTGTCACTTTCTCGTCTCACATGCAGTTTTATGACCTTTAAGGTATACGTTTTTTTTCAGAAAATACAAAAATATTACTTCAAAGATACAGAACAATGAAAATTTATTGAATAGTAAGGGGTCATATTTTTAACTACGACAATCTTTGGCCGTGAATGATGGTAATCAGGAATCTCTCCCTGAAGCGGAGTCAAATCCGAGTCAAACCGGCTTCGGATATGATAAGCCCATCTCTAATAACAACGATGTCATTACTAATAAAATTTACAGAAAATTTTACTTTCATATTTTTTTCTTGGAATTATCTATGATATAATTAGAAAATATATTGAAATTATTAGAAAATATATTAGGAATTATTAGAATGTGTTGCGCTATTTAATAAATAAAATTACAAAAAAATGTGACATGCACAGAAATGAATAAAACATGTACCTAAGCACTAATGGCTCTCAAACTATTTTACCTATATTTTCTTATGAAAAATTCAGCAATCAGCTATGCGGTTTTTATTATAATACCACCAATTTGTAATTATTTATTATTTATTTAATTAATGAAAAGGCCTGCTCTATAATATATTTTTGAAAGAAGCGACACTTGTGTCGGGTATCTACAATAGAATTTTAAGAAAATCATAGTTCAAATATATAATCACTAAAA